AATAAACCAAATGCCTTGGGCACCAAATTTTGAAAGAGGTTTCTAAAAGGGGTCATGGAAAAGGAAATATTCTGATGTGTACTCACGAAGCCTGAGAAAGAATGGGAGATGTACAAAATGGGGAAACAAACCATGGTGATGGACTTGTTGGCTGGTTGTTTTCAGTCATAGCCGACTCTTTGTGCCCCTGTTTGGGGTTGGGGGTTTGAGTGGTTTGCCATTTCCTTCTCCAGATCATTTATGGATGAGGAAACTGAGGCAAACATAGTTAATGACTTGCTTGGGTTCACAGGCTAGAAAGATTGGATGTGAACTCAGGTTTTCCTGACTCCAGGCCCTGTATTCTATCCACTACACCACCTAGTAGCCTCTTGTAATGGAGATGAATGTCAAAGCCTGGTATGATCCCATATCCTCACCAGAAATCTTCTAGCAAAGGATGAAAAGCAAATTACAATGAAGTGAAGAGGACATGGGTTTAAATCTTACTTCTGATGCTTAATAACCCTGTGACCTTAGAAAAGTCACTTGAGGCAGCTAGATGGTACAATGTAGCCTAGACTCAGGAAGACCTGAGTTCAATTCCCACTTTAAAGACTGATTAAGGGGGGCAGAGCCAAGATGACAGGGTAAAAGCAGTGACTTGCTTGAGCTCTCCCCCAAACCCCTCCAAATACCTATAAAAATGGCTCTAAACAAATTCTAAAACAGTAGAACCCACAAAAAGACAGAATGAAACAAATTTAGAGTCCAAGACAACCTGGATGATTGATCAGAAAGGTGTATCGTGCCGGGCTGGGAGAAGAACACAGTTTGGAGTGGGCACGCAAGCAAGGCAGGCCTCAGCAAACCTGAAGCAGGCCTCAGAGGACTGAATCATGGGCAGCTGTGGTGGTTTCCAGATTTCTCAACAAATGAACACCAAAGACAACTTAGAAGGTCAGTAGGAAAAGTCTGGGTCTGCAGTGAGAGACAGAAAGGCAGTCCCAGCCCTGGTCCCTGAGTGTCTGCCCCAAGGTGGCAGCTGCTTCCAGAGCTGTGGGCCCACAGACAGACAGGGAATCCAGGGGCTGATCAGAGGGGTATTGCAGGGATCTCTCTACTGGTGCAGGATTATCTTGCTTTGCCCACGCTTGGAGCTAATTCATAGTTCTGGGTGGAGATCCTGGGGCAAGGAGGAGTGCTGGTGTGGTGAAGCTTGTAGTGTGGTAGAGGAGAAATCCTCCTCACAGTTCCAAGACAGAAAAGAGTGCTTGTGGTTACTCATAGACCTGAGCACAGGTCAGGAAAGGTGTAAACACCTTGCCCTTAATTGTACCAAGTTGAAAGGACTGAAAATTTACAGGTTCCTGGAAGTATCTCTGAAAACAGCTGCACAAAACTCGAAAGTTTGGGAAAGTGCATTCTCCACAATGGAAGCAGACCCCTACCTTAACAAAGAGTTAAAACTCAAGTAAGTGGCTGGGATTATGAATAAACAAAGGTCCAAAAAAAGTCAGACCATAGAATCTTTCTTTGGTAACAAAGATCTAAACATACAACCTGAAGAAGACAACAAAGTCAAAGCTCCTACACCCAAAATCTCCAAGAAAAATATGAATCAGTCTCAGTCCATGGAAGAGCTCAAAAGGGAGTTTGAGAAACAAGTAAGAGGAGAAGAGGAAAAACTGGGAAGAGAAATGAGAGTGATGCAAGAAAATCATGAAAAACAAGTCAACATCTTGCTAAAGGAGACCCAAAAAAATACTGAAGAAAATGACACCTTAAAAAATAGCCTAACCCAAATGGCAAAAGAGGTCCAAAAAACCAATGAGGAGAATTATGTGTTAAAAAGCAAAATTGGCCAAATGGAAAAGGAAGTACAAAAGCTTACTGAGGAAAATACTTCCTTAAAAATTAGAATGGAGCAGGGGGCAGCTAGGTGGAGCAGTGGATAGCGTACCAGCCCTGAAGTCAGGAGTACCTGAGTTCAAATCCGGCGTCAGACAATAACATTTATTAGCTGTGTGACTCTGGGCAAGTCACTTAACCCCAATTGCCTCAGTAAAAAATAAATAAATAAATAATAAATAAATACATAAATAAATTAACAAACAGATAAATAAATAAATGACTTAGAATGGAGCAATTGGAACCTAGTGACTTTATGAGAAATCAAGACACTGTAAAACAAATCCAAAAGAATGAAAAAATAAAAAACAATGTGAAATATCTCATTGAAAAAACAACTCAGCTGGAAAATAGATCCAGGAGAGAAAATTTAAAAAAAGTTATTGGACTATCTGAAAGCTGTGATGGAAAAAAGAGCCTAGACACGATCTTTCAAGATAGTATCAAGGAAAACTGCCCTGATATTCTAGAACCAGAGGGTAAAATAAAAATTGAAAGAAGCTACCAATCAACTCCTCAAAGAGATCCTTAAAGGAAAACAGCCAAATTCCAGATTTCCCAGGTAAAGGAAACAATATTGAAAACAGCCAGAAAGAAACAATTCATACTTTTACAGTGGAGGGGAAGTGGGGGAAGGTAAGAGGGAATGAGTGAATCTTACTCTCATTGAGTTTGTCTTAAGGAGGGAATAATATACAAACTCAATTGGGTATGGAAATCTATATTACCCTACAGAAAAATAGGAGGGAAGGGGATAAAAGAGGGGGGTTGATAGAGAGGAGAGTAGATTAGAGTTGGGGTAATCAGAAACAAACACTTTTGAGAAGGCACAGGGCCAAATGAGAGAATAAATGGGGAATGGGATAGGATGAAGGGAAATAGAGTTAGTTTTTCACAACATGACTTTTATAGAAGTGTTTTGCATGACCACACATATGTAACCTGTGTCAAGTTGCTTGCCTTCTCAATGAAGATGGGTGGGGAGGGAGGAAGGGAGAGAATTTGGAACCCAAAGTTTTAAAATAAATGTAAAAAAAAATTGTTTTTTACATGCAACTGGGAAATAATATATATAGGCAATGGGGTATAGAAATCTACCCTACCCTGTAGGAAAATAGAAGGGGAAAGGGATGGGGGGTAATAGAAAGGAGGGCAGATTAGGAAAAGGGGCATTCAGAATGCAGGCCATCTTGGGGTGGGGGAGGGGAGAAAAGGGGGGAAAATTTGGAACTCAAAATCTTATGGAAGTGAATGTTGAAAATTAAATATTAATTAATTAATTGAAAAAATATGAAACACATCACTTATCATTATCATAATTGTAGCACCAACTAGCATCATCAAAAATTGTTTGTCAGTGACTCATGATCCTGTTCTCAATTTTATACAATGACAACCAGGACTAGATGGTTTTGTAAGTCCTATATGGCTTTAAATTCTGTACTTCCTTTTACTTGAGCGTTTACTTGCTCTCAAGGAGTCTCCGATCTTTCTGTGGTTGCTAATTTTAATATGATAAGTTTAATGTTTTAATAAGGTTTTAATGATAAATTTAAAAAAAATAAATACTGGTTAACTGACTGTATGCACCCTGAAAGCAGCAATTATAGCTCACACCATGCTTACATTCCCTCTCAGAAGTAGAATAAGCAGCCTGAGATTCCTTCTTGGTCTGTTCTCCAACAAGACTCCATGGTCTTTTCCATCACAGGCTAGGATTAACCCAGAGGCTGTGATCTATGACTTGGGCCCTGAATGGGTTTTTTTTTTCAGGCTGATTTTTCATATTCCCCTTAATGTACTCTGAGGTGCAGCCAAACTGAGTGACCAGGTATTTCCTAAAATCAACATTCCATCCCCTCTTTGTGTCTTTGAATGGACTATTTCCTGTACCCAGAGTGCACTCCATCCCCACTCCCATTTCTTAGAATCCATAGCTTTTGTCAAGGCTCAGCTCCCACGGGGCTTCCTCAGGAAGCCTTTTCTGAATTCCCATTTATTAGTTCTCTATTATAGTCTCTATCTCTTTGTCCTTGTCTGTCTCTCTCTGTCTCTATCTCTCTCCTTCCTTTTCTCTCCATCTCCCTATTTCCCTTGCTCTCTTTCCTCCTCTTCCTCTCTCCCTCTCTTTTCCTCTCTCCTCTCTCCCTGTTCTCTCTTCCCTCCTTTCCCAATGCCTCTCTCTGCCTCTCTCTGCCTCTCTCTCTCTCTTTTCTCTCTCTGTCTGCCTGCCTGCCTGCCTATCTGTCTCTGTCTGTCTGTCTGTCTGTCTGTCTCTCTCTCTCTCTTTGAATTACCATTTGCTATATCCCCTGGTGGAATATAATTCCCATGAGGATGGGGACTGTTTCACTTGCATGTTTTTCATTCTGAGCACCCACAGAGCACAACAGCATTACAGAGAAGGGGCCTGGTCAGTGTTTGCAGAGCAGAGGTGATTTGTCACCTCTCTCTGACACTTCCTACCATCCCCTTCAGTTCTCTCTCTTCCCCAGTCATCTTTCCCTACTTTACCTGCCCTCCTGATATTTTCCTGCTGACTTCTTCCTCTCTTTTTTGTCTGCATCTATGGAGAAACTTTGGGAACCTATGAGGGCACCAAGCTTAAGTACAGTAGCAGAGTTGCCTCTCAGGGCAGAATTTTTCAGAGGAAACAAGGTCCAATCCAACCCTGACATCACTTTGCCAGGTTCAAACCCTTCCCAACGCAGAGGAGTGAGATGAGAGGGCCAAGACCAGAAGGAAGCCATCAATATCAGCCTTCAGAGGAACAGCCACTCTTAGAACAGTTGGGACCCGTCTTCCAATGTCCATGTGCACAGAGGGATGTATTCAGATTATAGACAGGAAGAGGAATGAGGGAGGGCTAATAGAGAAGAGAATGAAGGACCCCTTTGTGAACTTTTCCCTTGGGTAGAGGTGCAAATGTTAAACTTAGATCCCTCCTCTTCCTTATTTTGAAGTCAGAAAGGAAGTGCCTCTTTCTCTTCCATAGATAAGCCCTGGCCCTTGGTTTTTCTAAACCTGGTTTCCAAGCCTCTCCTATCATATCTGCCCCTGGAGCTTCCTATTCCTTTAAAATAAAATTGAGAAGCAATGGAGAAAACAAGTCTTATAGTTGAAAATTTTATTAGTAAGCAAATCACAGCAGCATTCCCCTGATTTAACCTGAAGCTTCATGTCCTTTGTATATAGACAGGCAAAGTGAATGTGGAGACTTAGCAAGAGACTGGGCCCTCAGCTCTCTAGCCCAAGCCTGTGAGCAGCAAAAGGCAAACATAAGAAGGAAATAATATGGCTCTGTTTCACCAGAAGTGGTAGCTGCATTCACCCGATCTGGATATCCACAGCTCATATGATAACAGCAGGGGAGTCCAGGGTGGAGGGGAAGTGCTCAACAGAGATATTCTTTCTTGGAAACCCTCCATGACGCTGAGGCCAAGGATGAACTTGGGAAGTTGACAATCCATGCGGAAAAAAGAAATTTACATTAAAGGAAAACATGTTTTGCCTCTCCATCCAAATTGAAAGTTTACAGGACCTTGAATCACAGTTCTCTTGGGTATTGGCTCTCTTATGTGATGGTGACCTGCAAAACCCTCAGAAGGAAACCCACATCATCTTCTAAGTAGATGCCCCCAGTTCTTCATAGGCAGGGTCATGAAGAGCTGTCCTTAAGCTGGAATTGATATGGTGACCATGTGGTAGGAAGAGGACTCTCTGGAAAAAGCCAAAGGGAATGCAGTCAGACGTATCATCCTTGCCACCAGCCCTCCAGGACTCCTGACCCAATCACTGGACTCTGTCTCGGGAAGGACATTTTCACTTTAGCTGCAGCTTCAACAGGGGCCCATCCTATGCCCCCTCACCACCACCTACCATCTGGCCCCAGAAACAGAAATCACTTGGCCTCTCCAGGGAAGCCCTGCCTGGCTGGGGTGGGTAAAGTGCTCACCCCATTAGAGTCTACTGACAGTCTCCTCCAACTGAAGATAGCAGCAAACACGGCAACACTTAACTCCAAACCAGTGAAGATCAACATCACAGACAGAGTCCCCTGTGAACAGAAAGGATGGTTTGGGACCTGGGCCTGTCCTGAGACAAGATGGCTTGTGGGTCCCCTTGGACAACAGCCTTGGGGACAGAAGTCACAGGGAATTCTAACAGAGAGAGCAACTTCCTCTTCCACCCAGGGATCATGGGCTTCCAGGAAGCAAAGCAGAGGCACCGGGGGCTGCTAACTAGTCCTCAAAGCAGAGAGCATGAGGACTGGCCATGCCCCCTTGTCCTCTGCTCCTTTCCCATCAGCCTGACATACAGGCAAGGCCTTGGGTTATACATCATGGTATTCCCTGCCCATATGGACAGACTTGGAATTGTAGGTCCCCTTAGAGACAGGCATGATATGCTGACCATTTCCCATGGAATCAGTTGACTTTGGGGCCCAAATGGTTTCTTCACTTTGTCTATACTGGCAAATCAATAAAAGAACATATAGGAGAGAATTAGGATTCCTTTCCCCAGTTCCCAGGTGTTAATGAAATATTAAACTACCTGCACAAGTTGCATCTGAATCCTGACCCCTTTTTGACCTGTAAACTCTTTTCTGGCTGAGGCGAGGAAGGAATATCTCTACTATAGAGAAAACCAATTAGCCATATCAAAGGGAAATTTAAACAGCTAAGTCTTGGGGGAGGTTAAGGCTGTCCAGGCTTTGGATAGCTGTGTAGTGAGGCTCCTAACCAGCGGAGGAGGAGATTTTTCCCTAACTCTTCCCCTGTCACCCCCATCAATAGTGGTGGCATCTAGCATCAGGTGCCACGGAGCTGCCTATCCACTCCGTTAAAGGCTTTGCAAGCTGGAGGCTGGCCGCATGTGGGTCCCTGACTGGAGGGTCAGGGAGGAGCAGAGGGGATCCTTCACTCCCTGCTCCATCCCACTGTCCAGGTAGATTTGAGAAAAGCTGCCAAGGAAGAAAGCTCTTCCAGGCCCCTCACACATCTATGCACGTATGGGCCTGGGTAACATTGGACACTAAGGTTTTTCCCACTGTCTTTTTGGGAGAATGTGTCCTGCACTAAGGAAGGAGATATTGTGGAACTACTGTCCTTGCTGTGTTACTTAGAGAAATGCCTTTGATGGATGTCCTTGAACCTCCTGGTTGGCAGTTAGCAGGAAGCCCACCAGGGGCCCTCCATAAGGCACATTAGCAGAATTAACTACCCATGGGGTTACTGCTGGAATCTGAGTAGCAGCCCTCTTCCAGGGACCCAACATAGGAGAGTGAATATAAGTTGGGCAGTGACTTGAGGGATGTTACAAGGAAGAAATAGCTCGTATGGATGTTCCCAACTCAGCTTTCAAATGGCTCGGTCTATCTGAGGAATCAGGGGGCTCTCAACCTAGAAATTCCCTGGCAAACTGAAGGGGTGTGTAATGGGGCATTGGCTTTGTGCCCCTTGGGACAGCTTCAGAGCTGGCACCAGAGGAAGTGAAGTGCTCTCTGGGGAGCAGGGGGAGTCCTTCCGAGGGCTGAGGGAGCCAAGCCTGCAGGTGTGCTGGGTGGACCTTTGCACACTCGATATGGCATGAAGAAGGTTGCATCAGCCCCATCTTGTTCCTCATCCTGTAGAATCCAAGTAAAACAAACGATGGGACTGGGGGCTCTCTGACTCTCCCTCATCTTTTCGTTTTTCTTGGTCTTATTTTTTCCTTATCGAGTCACTGTATTGGGCAGTCAGGTGGTGCAGTGGGTAGAGTCCTGGGCCTATAATCAGGAAGACTTATCTTCATTAATTCAAATTTGGCCTCAGACACTGACCAACCATGTGACCCTGAGCAAATCACTTCACCCTGTTTGCCTCAGTGGCCTCATATGTAAAAATGACCTGGAGAAGGAAATGACAAACCACTCCATTATCGTAGCCAAGAAAACCCCAAATGGGGTCACAAAGTCGGACACAATTGAAAAGACGGAACAACAAAAGGCAAGCAGTCTACGTCCCCTTTATCACACAACTCAGGTGACTAGTGGCAGTGCCAGATAACTGAGAGCTCTTAGACTTGGCCTGGGCTAGCCCCAGGTTCAAGTCCTCCATCCAATCTATGATAGCTCATGGCCTGTGGGCAAGTGGATTAATTTGCTGAGCTTTGGTTTCCTTATCTTTCATTGCTGTTCAGTCCTTTTGCAGTCATGGCAGACTTCATGACCGCATCTGGGGCTTTCTTGGCAAAGATGCTGGAGTGGTTTGTCATTTCCTTCTTTTCATTTTTACGTATGAAGAAACTGAGGCAAACATGGTGAAGTGACTCCCCCAGGGTCATACAGCTAGTATGTATCTGAAGCCAGATTTGAACTCAGGAATATGAGTCTTCCTGACTACAGGCCCAGGACTCTATCCACTATACCACCTGTTAGATGGAAGCAATGGTATCTGTCTCATGTGTTTTTAGGAGATTGAAGTGAGATGAAGACTGGAAAGCACTGGGTAAACTGAGGTAGTGTGTCTTTAAGATTTACTGACCCATAGTTTTGTTGTGTAAAAATATGGGATTTGCCTGGCCAGAACAGCAACTTACTGTGTTGGAGAATTTCTGAGAACACTGAGGACTTCAGTGACTCTCCCCACCCCCACTTTTTCTCTGTCCTCCCTTGTCCCCTCTCCTTCTTCCCCTTTGCCCCCTTCACTCACCTTTCTACATTCCATCAGGACCTGGCTCCTCAGCCCCAGCACAGTGCCTAGCATGCAGATTATCAGAGGTCTGCCCAACTCCTCTACCATGTTACCCTCTCCACAAAAGGGCTTTTTTTAGTATTAGATTTCACAACTCCAGCATTCTCTCTCTTCCCTCTTTGGGAACCTTTGAACTTTCCCCAAAGCCCACCAGACCAAGAGTCTGCCCAACACGGGTGACATCTTCTGGCACCAACAAGAATTCCAGAAATGGAAAAGGAATCACTGAAAACTAACACTGGGTATAAAAATGCTTACAGTGAGAGCAGAGCCAGCCACCTGGCATGCCCAGGGACTGGGAGCAGGATAGTAAGGATGGTAACCAGGGGTAACAACATCTTCCTGTCTTTCTTGGTCCTGCTGTTGTGTGTTGAGGACTTGGTGAACACACTGAGCTAAATCTTCCTTCACCTCTGGTAGGACAACAGAGAGCAAGATGAGCCCAGCCGTGGCCTCGATGGCACAGATCACGTTTGCAGCCAGGCTGAAGCGGGTCTGAAAGAGAAAGCCCCGATATACCTGATATACCTGCATGGAGGCCAGGAACCGTGTGGGCCCCTGGGAGGAGAGCAGGGAGTAAGGGAGATCCTGAGCTTGGAGCTGGAAAAGACCTTCAGAGTCCTCAAGTCCCAGCCTCACCTTAAAGAGGAGAGAGAAGGGAAAGTGACCTGCTCTGTGACAAATGTGGCTGTCAGTGGACAGAGCGCAGAAGCAATCTTGGGGCCTCTGGATCTAAGTACCATGTTCTTTCAAACACTACCTCTGAGACAGAGAGAGAGAGAGAGAGAGAGAGAGAGAGAGAGAGAGAGAGAGAGAGAGAGAGAGAGAGAGGGGCAGACAGACAGAGACAGACAGAGACAGAAAGAGAGAGAGGGAGACAGAGACAGAGACAAACAGAGACAGAGAGATGGAGAGATAGAGACAGACAGAGACAGAGAGAGACAGAGGAGATACAGAGAGACAGAGAGAGAAACAGAGACAGAGACAGAGAGAAACAGAGAGACAGAGAGACAGAGAGAGTGCCCTCTTGAAGTCTCTTCCCTTTAATTCTCTCTGACTCTCTCTCTGTCTCTCTCTCTCTGTCCCTCTGTCTCTCTGTGTGTCTCTGTCTCTGTTTCTGTCTCTCTCTCTCTCTCTGTCCCTCTGTTTCTGTTTCTGTCTCTCTCTCTCTCTGTCTCTGTCTCTGTCTGTCTCTCTCTGTCTCTGTCTGTCTCTCTCTGTCTCTGTCTCTCCCTCTTCCTCCTCCTCCTCCTCCTCCTCTTCCTCCTCTTCTAAAGTCTACAATGGCCCTAGTATGCCTCCCATCTCCTCTGGGTCAGTGGTGTCAAATTCACATAGAAACAGACTGACTTTGAAAACCATAAATTAACATTATCTGTGTTGTATTGTATTTCTAGTTATCTTCTGATAACCCCCTCCCCCCAATCTGCCCTTCCTTCTATCATTATTTCTAGTTATCTTGTTAAACCTTTCCCAATTACATTTTAATCTTTTTCAAGTTGTGTGGGCCATAAGGGCCCTGAATTTGAGGTATCTGCTCTGGGTGGCCTATCTTTTCTCAGAGCAGGACCAGCTACACAGATGAGGCCCCAGGAATCTCCCAGAAGCACAGGTCCTCAGAGATTCCCTAATCTGAGCCCTGCCTACATAGTAATTTTCTCTCCAACATATATGAGAAGCAGTTAATTATCCTGCACTGTTACTATCTCCAATGACAGGGAACTCTCTACTTCCCAAGGTAGTCCATTTCACTTTTGAACAGCTTTGTTAAGAAATTGTCTTTCAACTCATATAAATCATTGGCTTTTCTACATGTTACCAATAAAGCCCAATGGCAAAAGAGAGAAAGAGATATTCCATTTAAAGTTACGGTATACATTATGAAATGTTTAGGAATCTACCTGCTGAAACAAACCCGGGAATTATATGAACACAATTACAAAACACTTTTCACACAAAGTCAGAACTAAATAATTGGAAAAACATCAGTTGCTCATGGGTAGGCGAAGCTAATAGAATAAAAATGACAATTTTACTTAAGTTAATTTACTTATTCAGTGCCATACTAATCAAACTACCAAAAATTATTTTATAGAGCTAGAAAAAATAATAACAAGATTCATTTGGAATAACAAAAGGTCCAGAATATCAAGGAGACCCATGGAAAGAATTGTTTGGGAAGGTGGCCTAGCTGTTCCATATCTTAAATTTTATTATAAAGCAGCCACCATCAAAACTGCTTGGTACTGGCTAAGAAATAGAGTGGTGGGGGCAGCTTGGTGGCGCAGTGGATAGAGCACTGACCCTGAAGTCAGGAGGACCTGAGTTCAAATCCAGCCTCATTCTAAACACTTGACACTTACTCGCTGTGTAACCCTAGGCAAGTCACTTAACTACAATTGCCAAAAAAAAGAAAAAAAGAAAAAAGAAATGGAGTGGTGGATCAGTGGAACAGGTTAAGTATGCAAGACACAGTAGTAATGACTATAGTAATCTACTATTTGATAAAACCCAAAGACCCCAGCTTCTGGGATAAGAACCCACTCTTTGAAAAAAACTGCTGGGAAAACTGGAAAAGAATATGGCAGAAACTAGGCATAGACCAACACCTTACATGCCATACCAAAATAAATTTAAAATGGGTACACAATTTGAATATAAAGGCTGATACTATAAGCAAAGTGGGAGAACAAAGAGTAGTCTACCTGTTAGATTTATGGAGAATAGAAGAGTTTATGACCAACCAAGAGACAGAGAATATTATGAAATGCAAAATGGATAATTTTGATTACATTAAATTGAAAAGTTTTTTCACAAAGCCAATGCAACCAAGATTAGGAGGGAAGCAGAAAACTGGGAAAGAATTTTTACAACCAATGTCTCTGATAAAGGTCGCATTTCTAAAATATGTAGAGAACTAGGTCAAATTTATAAGAATACAAATTATTCCCCAGTTGATAAATGGTCAAAGGATATGATCAGGCAGTTTTCAGAGAAAGAAATTAAAGCTGTCTGTAGTCATATGAAAAATATACTCTAAATCACTATTGATTAGAGAAATGCAAACCAAAATAATTCTGAGGTACCCCACCTATCAGATTGGCCAACATGACAAAACAGGAAAATGAGTAAATGTTGGAGAAGATGTAGGAAAGTTGGAACACTAATGCATAGTTGGTGGAGTTGTGAACTGATCCAACCAATTTGGAACTATGCCCAAAGGGCTACAAAAATGTGCGTACCCTTTAACCCAACAATACCACTTCTAAAGCTGTAGCCCAAAGAGATCGTAAAAATGGGAAAAGGACCCACACGTATAAAAATATTCATAGCAGCTCTTTTCATGGTGGCAAAGAATTGGAAATTGAGAGGATGCCCATCAATTGCAGAATGGCTGAACAAGTTGTGGTATATGAATGTAATGGAATATTATTGTGCTAGAAGAAATGATGAGTAAGACTTCAGAAAATCCTGGAAAGACTTGTATGGACTGATGCTGAGTGAAGTGAGCAGAACCAGGAAAACACTGTACAGAGTAACAGCCACATTGTGTGATGACTAACTTTGATAGACTTAGCTCTTCTTAGCAATCCAAAGATCTAAGACATCTCCAAAAGTCTCATGATGGAAAATGCTATCCACATCCAGAGAATGAACTATGGAATCTGAATGCAGATTGAAACATACTATTTGCTCTTTTTCCCCTCTGTTTTATTTTGTTTCTTCTTTCTTGTGGTTCCTCCTATTGGTTCTAATTCTTCCTTACAGCATGACTAATGTGAAAATATGTTTAATAGGATTGTATGTGTAGAGCCTATATCAGATTGGGATATATCCCTCTTGGGGAGGGAGGGGGAGAGGGAGGGGGAGAAAAATTTAAAACTCAAAAGCTTATGGAAGTGATTGTTGAAAAATAAAAATGAATTAATCAAAAAAATTTTTAAAAAATTTCTTTCATCGAGACAATTCTTCTCTTCAACTAACTTGCACCCCTTGCTTCTACCTCCCCCACTAGTCATTACTTAGTTCCTACCCACTCCTTTCCCAGCAGCCCCTTCCTTAAAAAAAAGGAGAGAGAATAATCCAGGTTATTTTGACTACAAGTACTATGCTCTCTTTACTCACAGATCCCCCTGAAAAGACCTTGTTTTAAGGAGGTTAAGGAATGGGGGTAGGTTTTTTTGTTTTTAGCTACATGGTGGCTCTTAGGCCTTGCCCCAGAAGACAACAATATTAAGGGTCCAAGGTGTTCCATGTAGGGTAATGCAGCATGAAGAAAGAGGACTAACTGGGTTCCTAGCACCCCCAGGTTCTATCCCGGGTTCTTCCAATGGATTCCTGTGTCACCTTCAGCAAATGACTGCCCCTCTATGTGCTAAGTTCTAAAGGTGAGGGCAATCTTAGGGATCATTGAGTTCAAGCCTCTCATTTCATAGATGAAGAAGCTAGTACTGAGAAGGAGCAGGGGCATGGTCATAGTCATTCAATCAGGAACTGAGCTAGCTTCCAGGGCTCCACGCACTGCACCATGTCTGGCTGACTTGTCTTGCCGATGGGACGAGGCAGCCAGCTCTCTAGCTTGCCATGTCCTCAGATATTTATGATACTCACCAAAGATTTCGTTTTCTTCTTTTCTGATGCTATAGACAATGATCCAGAAATGATAAACTGTAAAGGAGAATGCACAAGGGTCAATCCTAGGGCCACAGGGAGACACAACCCCAGGCCACAGGGTCCACTTAGCCAGCAGGTGTTTCTCCATTGGCTAAGGGCTGACCCCTAGGGCCCTGGGCCAGGCAAAGGACATACTCTGAGGTTAGGCTTGGGCTGGGTCATACTTGCACTCCAACAGGAGAGAAAGGAGAAAGCTCCAGCCACAGCTATCCACCATCCTAGTGACCAGAAGGCTTTTACTGTGTTCAGGGGTTAGAAAACCAGCACCTTCTGAAAGGGGAGAGAAGGGCTTTGAAGTTGATTTAAGAAAGTGAAGCCATGGGGAAGGGTGGGGTGAGTAGCAAACAATGGGCAGAAGATGCTGAACACTGTAGGGAGCAGCTCATTTGGTGCAGGAAGCACCTGGCCAAGGCCAGGGAGTCCCAGGAAAACAATGGGCCAGAATGAAGAGGGGAGCTTGGACCCTCATCAACCCTTACTCAGACCATGGACTCCCAACTAGCTGTCCTAACTCTGGTCTCAAGCCTCACCAAAACCTCCTTCCCACAATAGCCAAAACCTCTTCTTAGGGCACAGGGCTGACCAGAGTTACTCTTTAGCTCACCGACTTTGAATGGCTCCCTATCACTCCCAGGCCAGGCCTTCTTGACCTTTCTGCAACATGAGCACCTTGGGCAATGTCTCATGAAGTTGATGGAGCCCAGCCCAGAATCATGGTTTTCAGATGCGTGGAAGGATTATAAAGAAACCCAATTTGTGAAATGCAATTATCAAGATAATTAGAAAATAAATTCCTAGGCCTCTTAGGTTAATAATCCTTGCTCTGTATATACTCCGAGGCCTAGCACTTCTAAGATATTCCACAATCTGGTAACAACCTACTTTCCAGCCTAGTTCACCTCCCTGTGAAGCAATATGGTTCAATTGAAAGAGTGCTGAGTTTAGAAGCAAAGGACCTGGGTTTGAATCCTAGCACTCTCAGTTACCACCAGCTTTATTTGGAGTAAATCTTAACTGCTTTGAGCCTCAGTTTCCTAATCTGTCAGATTAGGACTGTCAGCCTCGGTGACACAGCTATGATCCGCCCAGCTCTAGTCTCAGATTCAGTGACACTCTCCTCTGCTCACTCCCTATTCTAGCCAAGGAGAATTATCTGTTGTTGCCCTGTCTTGGGCTGATCTTTCCTCTCTCCCACGGCTGGAATGTCCTCCCCCTCCTGCCTTCAAGGCCCAGCTCCCTGATGTCCTCCCTGATTCCCATGGCAGGAAAGGGTTACCCACAGACCCTCTCCTCTGGCCCCCTCTACTCCTGTGACTTGGGTCACACTGATTTGTATGGGTGCCACACCCCTCAGGGACCCCTAAAGCTCCAGGAGAACTAAGAATGTCCTTTATCGTTATCTTCCCATTTCTAGCATCTAGCCCTGGACCCACATACAGGCAGTGCGTCATGAATATACACTGAACTGAATGTGGTTTAGTGAGAACAAGAAATGAAACCTGGCAGGAAGCCCTGGGACTTATTCATTAAGGGGGCAGTAGGAAGCCACTGGACAGTGAGTGATGGTAGAGCAGCCTGGATAAAATGGCAGAAATAATCATTCACATTCTAGTGCTTGGTATAGCCCAGGCCATCAGAGAGAGGTTATTGGAGTCCAGAGGTAAGATAAAGGGCAGTGATGAAGGCTTTATTGGCAGGGACAATGGGTAGGGAGTAGTATAGTGGATAGACCACTGGGCTGAGAATCAAGAAAACTCATCTTCTTGAGTTGGAATTTGGGCTCAGAAACTTACTAGCTGTGTGACCCTGGGCAAGTCACTTAACGTTGCCTACCTCAGTTTCCTCATCTGTAAAATGAACTGGAGGAGGAAATGGCAAACTGCTCAAATATTTTTGCCGAGGAAATCCCAAGAGAGGTCACAGAGAGTCAAACACATCTGAAACAACTCAACCACAAAGGGAAATACATGGACAGACTTGAGTGTTGGAATGCAGAAAGGAGCTGATGGATTAGGAAAACTTGGTGTCAAAAACGGGCAGATTTCCTAGAACCCTCATGGCTCTGCTCTCAACTTGAGCACTTTTAAAAATAAAATCCAGCTTCTTAATGAGTGGGGGAGAGAGTGGAGGGAAAGAGAGAATTTAGACCTGAAAATAAAATACAATTTAGTAAAAAGTATTCTATAAATTAGCTTCCTTGTTTGCCTTCTGCCAGGTGTCCCCCACCCCCAGCCTCTGTCCTATCCCCCCAAAGCCATAGGATAAAGAACGCCACCCCCCCACTTCCGGTTAGTAGTGCAGAGGATGAGAATAAATTTCCCAGCCCCTCCTGACCACAGGCCTTCTACCTGTTGGGAAAGCAGTTGGACAGAGAGAAAGGTACCTTTATACCTTGCCCTCCTCCTGCCTGAGTCACCCAGATGAAATCGTGGAGGGGCCTCTACTTACCGACACCCCACCTACAAATGGGTAGCCAGACTTCACGATTTTGGAACAGGAAGGACTGAAGTAGGATGAATCATGCGCGCATGCCAAAATGATGCCCACACCCAAAATCATCAGGCCAGTCAAGATCTGGACGGTCTGAACAGCAAGAAAAAGAAATGGGAACTTTTTTAGGACAGATTCATTCCTGTTCCTAAGGGAGAGGGATAACCTGGCCCTGCAAACCCCAATAAGTGTCCACAATGACCAGATCTGGGGCTTTTAACCTGGGGTCCATGAGTTTGTTTGGTTTTTTTTTAAATATTATTTAAATTATATTTCAATACAGTTTTTTTCCTTTGTAATTCTATATATTTTATGTTATGAATCTAAAAACAGGATTCTGAGAAAGGGTCCACAGGCTTCACCAGACTACCCAAGGGGTTCATGACAAAAAAAAAAAAAAGAAGGTTCACAAGCCCTATCCTGGGCAGAGTTAGACTGAAACAGGGGATCCGAGGTATCATATAGCTTCTGAGCAACCTCTCCAGAAGCCACAATTCCGTTCTGCTCTGGTAACAGCCCCCATGCTCATTCCCCAGATACAACTGCCCTCGTACAAAGCCCCCGGTGCACCCGCTGCCTGAAAGCAGCTGCCTTCTGCAGCCATGACCTCCAGTTTGCCCAAATACCTTTCTTGGGTGGATGGAACACAAACAGCCAAGTCCCACAGATCTCAGGGTAGGAAAGGACCTCAGTGTCCATCTGGTGCAATCCACGCCTCAGTGAAAACAGATTCCTCGTGACACTTCAGTGACAAGTGGTCATCCAATCTTTGTCTACAGATCTCCCCCAGCACTCCATTCTGCCTTCAAGCAAGGCCAATGACTCCCAAACAATTATGATAAATCATCCCCTTTGCTGCATCTCCTCAAACTCCTAGTTATGCTCTCTGAGGCCAAGCCCAATATGTCTAACCTCCTTTCATCTCCTTTTAGATACTTGCCCATGGCTGTTACAGCTTCACTAAGTTTTCTATTCTCAAGGGATATCTACATGACCGTTTCCTTCAACTGTTTCTAGGGTCCAGCTTAACAATGTCCTTCCAACAGAGTGTCACTCTGGACCGACCACAAAACTCTAGATTTGGTCTGACCAAGGCAGAGAACAAGTCTGATATCCACAGATGTGCTAATAAATGTTTAACCAACTCTTCAGTTAAAAAAAAATGTATGCAAAAGACACTTTGAAGTTTAACTGACTTTATTAACATTTTCTCCATCACTTTCCTAAATTTAGATAATCAACATCACAAAAAGAACCAGTCTCTACCAGTGGTGTTTGCTAATACCCCAGGTGTAAATGTTCACCCTGAAAATACAAGTGGCTCCCACAGGCCATCCGAGCTGGTTCCAGCCCACTTCTCCTTCCATTGCCTTATTCCTAGACACTGCCTTAAGGGAGCCTGGGCAAGTTATGTTTCTGTGGTACTCAGCCTTGGTCAGACCACGTCTGGGCTCTTGGGCTCAGCTCTGGGGGCCATGTACATCCAAGGTTACAGCTCCTGGGAGCCAACGGTGGCTTGACCTCTCCCTTGTTCATCTACTATCCCAGAGGAAGAAGCAATTGTGCATTCCTATTCCTGGCCTGAGAAAAGCCACAGAGGTGACATGCACCTCCCCTCTGTTTTCTAGTCCAGTGAGGTTTCCAGTCATGTTTCCTGATGATAGCAGCAGGAAGGTCTGTAAGAACTAAGCATTCTTACATAACCAGAGGGCATGCTAGTGTGGAAGGAAGGATTGTGTAACTTTTCCTCAATTTCTTTCTCTGCTGGTGGCCTAAATCAGGAAGTTTGGGCCTTTTTCTGCAGTTTCACCCTAACCCTTGCAAAGCTGTCATAATTTTCAGCCCCTTAGGCCTGCAAAGAACAGGCTAGAGATTCCCCAGGGAAAATCTGTGTTTCTTCTCCCCTCACCCCAAATTCTTCCAGGTGTTACTGGCACCCAGCTAAGGGATCTCCAAGCCCAAGGTAGACCTACAAGCTTGGGATGTGGCTGGCTTCTCTCACACTCCTTTTTGAAAGAGCTCTTACCCCAAGAGCTTTGGACTCCTCCTTAAGCCCTTTCTTCTGGTTGTCGTTTGACTCAGAGGAAGGTCCAGGCTGTTCCATCTGGGGGATACTGATTCCACCGGGGTTACAATCATGAATGTGCCAGAGGGCACAGGTTGAGATGTCATGATGTTGTAGCTGGTGCTGGAAGAGATAATAAGGTAGAAAGTGGGAGAAGACAGTGGTGGGAATCTTGGACCCTGGCACTGTGGAGTTCCTCCCAGCTTGCTTGATGAAATTCAGCCAGTCCTCCCACAAGACATAGATCCGGAAGTCAACAGCCAAAGACTCCCATGGAGTTTAGAGGCAACTCATCACAAATCTGTCCAGTCTTTGCATTGGCAGCCTGTTTATCTAATCTAAATCAAGCCACTCACTGAATCAATCCAAACACTTACTGAGAACCATATGGTATATATAACCCCCGTCTGCAGTTCAGTTTGTGATGCTGACTAGCTGTGTGACCACAGATGAGTCCCCTAATTTATCTTAGCCTCAGTTTCCTGATCTGTAAAATGGGGATAATAATATCCATATGCCCTATACACAGGGCTGAGGTGAAAAAATACATTTGTAAACCTTGAAACAACATAGAAATTTATATATTACTATGTCAGTCTGAAGGACAGGAGAAAAAGAGAAATAAGGATTAGTATTAAATTATTAACAATAATTAACTAGCATTTATATGGAGCTTTAAGGTTTGCAAAGCATTTGAAAAAATATTCTCTTTTGGTCCTCACGATGACACTAGGAGGTAGGTGCTATTATTATCCACATATTACAGATGAGAAAACTGAGGCAAATAGAAGTGAAGGGATTTGCCAAAGATTTGGCAGCTAGTGTCTGAGGTCAGAGTTGACCTCGGATCTTCCTAAGTCTAGGTCCATTGTATTACCTAGGTACCTAATAATAATAAATTACGAGGATGTAATAATTGATTAAATTAACAATGAAATGGCTGTTTTATTGAATTTCTTCAATATTTCAGATATCCCTGGTTTTCTGAGGGGAAGTTTTCCCTCTAATGCAAAACTAAAACTGTTCCCCTCCTTGGAAGACTTTGCCTTTTAGCACTAGTCTTATAATGACTTGATAAAACAGTGGGATCAGACTGGGATCTGAAAAGGACCTTAGATGTAACTGAGTCCAACCATCTCATTTTACATAAGAGGAAAATAAAGCCTAGAGAAGGGAAGAGATTTAGACATGGTAGCACAAGTAGCCAGTGGCAGAGTTGGCATTTGAAACTAGGTCCTCTTATCACAGGTTCTGTTATCCTCCTATCCTTAGGGCAGCTATGTTGTGCTTCAGTAAATACAGCACTGGTCCTGGAGTCAGGACGACCAGAGTTCAAATCTGTTCTCAGATTCTCACTACCTGTGCGACCCTGGGCAAGTCACTTCACCTTGTTTGCCTCCGTTTTCTGATCTGTAAAACAAGCTGGAGAAGGAAATGGCAAACCCCTCCAGTATCTTTGCCACGAAAACCTCAAATAGGGTCATGAAGAGTCAGACACGACTGAAAAACAGCCTCTTATCCAGCTGCAACATTCTTTGCCCTGAGCCCATTGCTTGCTCCCTTGTTATGTTCCCCAGATAGGAAGTGAGCTCCCGGATCATGGAAGCTGTTTGGTTTTCACTTTGGTGTCCCTAGAGCCTAGCATAGTGCCTTGCCTAGAGTAGGCACTTGACTGCTTATTGAACAGAACCCCTTTTCATACATTTATAGAAAGGATCCAGAATCACATAGCTGGAGGAGACCCCACATACCATCTACTCCAAGACATCTCAAAGAGAATCCTTCTTTGTTACACTCCTCATAAGCCAGCATCCTGCCTCCTCTGGAAGCCTCTGAGTTAGGAAGAATTCACTACTTCCCCAGCCTGTTCCACTTTTGTTCCTTTCTAAATATTAGGTACAATTGTGTTCCTCATGTCAAGCCAAACTCTGGACTTCACGAATTGCCACTTGCCCCTCCTGGTTATGTTCTCTGGAGCCTAGAGGAGATTAAGCCAGACACAATCCCCAGCCCCTCAGCTGAGGACTCTGCCCCTACTTCACAGAGAAACCTGAGGCTCTCAATGGGAACTCCCTCTTCTCCTCTTCATCTCCCAGACATCATCTCTCACTCTCTCTGGCAAAGCCTGGCACTTCTCCTTGTCAAGGAGTCAAGGACCATCCTTCTGCATGTACCTTTGATTCCTCTCCTTCCCAGCTTCCCTAGTAGATTGCATCCTTAATCCCGCCCCTTCTCTCTCAAATTGTCAACATCGCCCTATATACCAACCATGGCAAGCATCTGAAGTTTTATAAAGTACTTTACAGTATTAATGTCATCTGATATATGAGAAAATCACAAGAAGCCTGGAAGGTAGACTCTATTATTATTCCCATTTTACAGATGAGAAAGTGAGGCAGATAGAAGTTGTGACTCGGTTAGAGTCTCAAAGGTAGTGTATCTGAGGCAGGATGCCAGCTCATGTCTTCTTGCCTCCAGGTCCTCTAAGCTCTATCCACCATGCCACCGAGGTGCCTCTACCTGCTCCTTCCCTACCAACTTCAAACATAGCTAAGTCTCCTCTGTTAAAAAAAAAAACAAAAAAACAAATTTCACTAGACCCTCCTATGATCTCATGATATACGTGTGTGTATGTAGACAGACAGATCGACGGATGGATGGATGGACGGATGAATGACAGACAGACAGATAAACAGGTCTGCTCTTTCTAAGACAAACTCCTTGAAAGCCTTCTCTTCACCCACTGTTACCTCTTTTTATGCTCTCACTCCTCTAACAGTCTGAAATTTAGCTTCTGAGCTCATCACTCAAAAGAAGCTGCTCTCTCCAGTTACCTGTGATCAAATCAGAGGATATTCGTAAAGCACTCAGCACAGTGCCTGGCACACAGTAGGCACTATGTAAATGATGATGAAGATGGTGATGACCTCTGAATTGCCAGAACCTTCAGTCTTTTTTCAGTCTTCATCCATCTCAACCTTTCTGCTGCATTTAACCTAATCCTCTTGTTTTATAGATAGGTAAACTGAGGCCTAGGGAACCTTGCTGGCAATCTAATGGAATCCTCTAGGTTTATAGATGGGTAAACTGAGGCCTGGGGAGGAGGGGAAGTAACTTGCCCAAGGCCACACAGGTAGTCAGCATCAGAAGTGAAAGTCAAACCCAGAGTCTCTGAATCTATAGCCAACGGTCTTTCAATTTCATCATGCTTGGCTTGGAGGTCTGTCAGAGGAGGCTTTGAGGTCAAATAATAGATCAACACAGACAGCCTAAATCAGTTAAATATTCTCTAAGGCCATAGAATTGTGAATCAAGAGGTGGAAGGGAGCTCAGCAGTCATCCAGTCTCAGTTTCTCATTTTACAGATGAGGAAACTGAGGCCTGGAGAAGTGAAATGACTTGCCTGAGATCATAGAGGAAAGAAATTGCTGAGCTGGGCTTTGAATTCAGATCTTTTTATCCAGCACTCTTTGAATCCAGAGTTCCTTCTATTGAACCACAATGCCTTCCAACTGCATCCCTTCTGGTTTTATGTTCTATATTTGAAGTCTCCTCCTAACTCTGACGTTCTCTGTTCACTCTCTCCTAGCTAGGATACTTTATCCATGATCCAATGAGCCATCGGCTTGTTCTGTTCACAAGAAGAGGAAGGAATATTTCTAGGAGGTGGAAGCCTAAAGGGTGTACCCCTCTGCTTCTTTCAAGCACGTTAAACCAATGGTGTCTGAAGTGTATATGCCACATAGAAGGGGGGACCCAAGGTCACGCATCTTTATTCACTTCTCTTAGGGCCACATGGCTAGCTATACTCCACCACTCTGTGTGAAAATGCACAGGGTGCATTTTGATGCTTCAGTGAATGCCTGGCAATGATATTGCTAAACAATGCTGTTTCAGCAATGGCTGTCAGAAATCTCTCTCTGGACACTCCTTTGGGCTTATCCATTGTTGATCTCTTTGCTTTCCTAATCTCACAAGCACGTCAATCTGTTTTATCTATTTTGAAACTTCTCCTGCCCTTGGTGATCATGAGTCTTCCAGATATTCAATTTTCTCATCTGTAGAAGAGGGTTCATATTACTCATAAAACCCAGCTCATGGAATTGCTTCAAGGGTGGAATGAGATGGATTGAAAATCTAAGACCCTCAATAAATGTTAGCTTTTGTTATGATCTGTTGTTATGTGAATACCAGTACACAACACAGACATACCTCACCTTGCCTGGATCTCACCATTTTCTCATAATACTAAAACCAAAGCTGGCATGGGAGAGGCAGTGTGGTGCAGTGGACAGAAAGCTGGATTTAATCAGAGATCTTTGATTCAAATTCCCAATCAACCACTAACCACCTGTGTGACTTTGGACAAGTTAGTTACCCTCTCTGAGACTCAGTGTTCCCATCCATGGCCTCTAAAATCTGTTCTAACTTGAAATCTACGATGCTATGATTCCCCAAAATCACAAGAAGGGATTCAAGTCAAGGAAAGAGGATCTGTGGTACCTACCTGTCCCCAACGACAGCTCTTGCTGAGTTTCTGCTGGTGTCTGTCAATATCTTACGATGACTTCTCTCCTCTGAGGAGTTCTGGGTCCCAGATGGGGACTCCTTCTGGGTGTGCAAGTCCTTGTTAATGAAACACTCTTTGAGGCTTTTCTGTCCCTTCCTCTATCCGGTATTTATGGTCAAACAGGATGTGATGTTTGCAGCAGAAACAGCTGATTTATGGAAAGGGTATATGCTTCCTTCTTCTGAACAACTTAATTGGATGTGATAAGTATCTCAGAGCACAAGCAGTGACTTCCATCCCTTTTCTTGAAGCCAAAGCTTTTAGGCAAACTGAAGCAGAATTGGACCTCTCTGTTAAATAATTGCAACCTCTTTTCTCTCCTTTATCTCACTCCAAGACTGGGACTGTTTTATATGTATCCTCAAAACCTAGCACAGTTCCTATATATAGTACATGCTTCATGAACGTTTGTTTGATTGACTGACTGAGGTGGGTAGTTTTTCTTCTCCTTTTGGCTAGATTTGCAGAACATACCAGCACTTTTCCTTCTTTCTTTTTTTTTAATTAATTCATTTTTAATTATCAACAATCACTGCCATAAGCTTTTGAGTTTCAAATTTTAAGTTTTTAAATTTTTCTCTCCCTCCCTCTCCACATCCCACCATGAATATCTTTTCCCTGGCCCTTTCCCCCTTTTTCTGTATAAAAGTATCATTCTCACTACCATTAAAGTCAGATTCTTAGAATCTCACCCACATAATCAGCGTTATAATAAAACCTTGCCACTCTGAAAGAAGGCTTGAGTAGTCGAATTCTTTTGAGGCAGACCTGCCCTATCCTCTTACATTTTAGGGTTCCTAGAACCCTTAGACTGCATCAAGTGTGGAGGGAGGGAGAAAATTTGGAACTGAGAATGAAAGAAAATTTAATAATATAATAATTAAAAAAGAAAGGTTTAGTGACTTATCCAGAGTTTGTCTGAAGTGGGATGAGAACCTAAGTCTTCTGGCTCTGACTACTCTATACACTATACCATCTCTACTGAAAAAATGAAAATGTATTTTATCATATGTTACATAAGATAAAAATGTGTCAATGCAATTTTTAAAAATAAATGAGAAATGTTCTGGATTAGTGTTAAATTTATTTTAAAATGCTTTTGGCAGACTGGTGCTTCAAATAAAAAATAAGGGATTTCTGCTTTTCATTGACAATGGATTAACAGTGAAGGTAAGATAAGTCCGCTAATATATTAGCAAGAAGAAAGAGAAAGAGAGGGTTGTCAGACAGGAAGAATTGAGACTGGGGGAAGAAAAAAGGATCTCCACCAATTGAAGGGAGAGGGTCTCAATGAAGAACACTCATGAGGTAAATGTCTGGCTGGAGATCTAAAGATTGATTTAATCCAGAAGGAATACAAGAAGCCTCCAGGGATACAACTGCTTCAGGAAAAGGGAAATAAGAGCTCCTGGGGTGGGGGGAATGGCATCCAGAACTGTGGGAGGACCTAAACCCTGAGAGGAGTCTAGCAATCACATGGCAAATGAGAATAACCAAGGGGTACAATTAGCACAATCTGGGACACAGTGATTTTTATCATGGAGGCAATGCTTCGAAGCTCATCAGTTCCCTCATGAATTGATATTTCCAAAAGTGAAACACCACAGGAAGAAAAAGAGAGAGGGGGGGGAGGGAGAGAGAGGCAGAGAGAGAGAGGCAGAGAGAGAGAGAGAGAGAGAGGAGAGAGAGAGAGAGAGAGAGAGAGAGAAGAGAGAGATTGGGCAAGGGAACTCACATTGGACATTTTAGAAGCTGTAACTACAAGGAATATGAAAACATTAAAGAAGGAATAATAAAGTATAAAGGTCATAAATCATAAAATAAAAATCAAGAATAGACAGAAAGGAAAAAATTAATAAAGGGGGCTGTGATGGGAAGTACAGAAATCTTTCTTAGAAAAAAGCCTGGGGTACAGGGAGGAATACTAATTGATTTTTTAAAGTTGGAGGGGACAAATAGAGAGGATTTTTAACTAACTGAGAGGGGGAGAAAGGGAAAGAACTAGACAAGTAAAGAAAAGAAAGAAAGAAAAATAAATAATGTAAGTAAAACCACAAAACTAGGGAAGCCATTTGGAAATGGGAAAGGAAGGGCAATGAGGAAAGTGAGACTGCAGTAATGAGGGTTGCATCAAAGTAGATTAAGTAAAACTAGTGGGGAGTAGCAGGGGGAGTACCGATTGAAAAGAGAAAAGAGAACCAAAAAAAATCCTTTAAGAAATACACCAAAGCAATGCAGATGTAACTCATAATTTTAAATGAGAATGCATTGAACCATCAATAAAATGAAGGAGAATAGCAGAACAGATAAGAAAACAACCCTCCATGATGTTTCTCCATTTTTAATATCTGGGAGGAAAACCATTGTCAAATATCAAAGGTGTTATATCCAAGATAAAAAAAAAATAAGAGAACTATATGAAGGCAACTAGGTGGTCCAGTGCATAGGGCACTGGGCTTGGCAGCAGTAAGACTCATGATACTGAGTTCACATTCAGCCTCAGACATTTACTAAATTGTGTGATCTTAGACCAGTCACTTAAACTCTGTTTGCCGGTTTCCTCCTCTTTTGTGGAAATGGAATGGCTAACGACTTTACTAACCACCTTAATTTGCTTGAGCTCCTTTCATATCCAGAGAGGTCAGACTGACCTGGGAATCAGAATTAGCCAATCAGGAGGCAAACTGAACATCTCCTAAGCTTGAAATAACAGAAAGCACTTTGTACACTTTTAAGAGCTAACCAATGCTGGCTCTTATTGTCCCCCCTCCAGAGGTGCTTTGCAATGGTCCCTTGCTGAACCTGGAACTCCTGGTTCACACCAGACCTAAAGGACAGAATTAGCACAAGCATCATAGTCCCAGGGCCTGGGAGACTTTTCACTCTGACCCTCTTACTCCTTCCAAGTACCCTGGAGTGCTTTGTGACTTCTATGAAACAACCCCTTCCATGGAATATCAAACCCCCAGTACCTGATTGGGCCAGGACGCGGCCCAATCTCTTCCTCCTCTCACCATTCTTATTCTAAGTGGCAGCAGGTTGCCATAGAAATCACAAGGGCATCAGAAGCAGGAGCCCTCCGGTCAAATTGGAGCTTCAGTATTTAATAGCTTAGTGACCATGGGAAAATCATTTCAAGTTTAGGCTGCCATACTGCTTGGTGACTGTCCTCCAAGTCTCTGTGTTCATTCCCAACTTGGCTCCTATGGGCAATCAATTGACAAGTATTTATTTTATTTTATTTTATTTATTTTTAAATTTTCAATTATTTTGAATTATCCACAGTCACTTTGGAAAAACACAACTTCTGGGAGCCAAGATGTAGGAGTAAAAAGTAAGTTGCTTTCACTCTCCCCTATGAACCTCTGAAAGCCTAGAAAATATTGCCCAAGGAAAAACCATAGAACAGCTGATACTGGAAGAAAGATAGGGTGCAGCAGTCCAGTAGCCCAGGCAGCTTAAGGGATTGACATGAAAGGCCCCTCTTGCCCTGAGGGAAGGGGAGCCATACTGAACAGGAAGAGTCCCAGCAAGCTAGCAGAAAGCCCAACCTCAGCATACCAGGGGGAGATCCTAAAACCCAGGTGGTGGAGCAGGCAAACAGCAGTGAGGGTGATGGAACCGATGGAAACCAGCTCAGAAAACCAGCTCAGAAAACCACCGGGTGCCTTGGTATTCTACAGCAGTCTCCCAATACCTCACCAAAAATCTGTGAAGTGCTCCAAGGGGCCCCAGGTGGATAAATATCTTGCAACATCCATCTGAAAGAGGCTGAAGAAAGTGAAAGTAAAGGAAAAGCAGGCAACCTCCAAGGGGACTGCTCTCACCCCTACCCCTAGAGCTGCAATGTTGCTGATTTCCAGCCCAACACCAGGTAAGCTGCCAGAACCCTACAGCCTCCAACTGCCAGCATCAGAGGCCCCCGTACATAAAGCCAGTGATCAGGCCCTAGTCTCCCAACACAAGAAGCTTGGATAAGTGCCCTTTACTCCCCAGCAGGAGAGCTCAATATCTTTAAAGGCCAGAAAATGAGAGACATATAAAGGTAAACAGGACAAAAAGATACAACATGTTGTTAATAAGGGCAAATTGTTTACATACCTACAAAGAAAGATGACACTTGTAACTCTTGAGAACTGTGTTGTTATTACACCATGTTAAAGCGGTATGCATAAAGGGGGTGGATATAAGTTGACTTTGATGTAATGATTAAAAAAAAATCTAAGCAAGTGGGTTAAATGGATCCAATAAGTGTATTTAATCTGATCTAAGAAAATGTACTGAGAGAAAAAGGAAAGGAGGAGGCAGACAAGGATAAATTACATCTTTTTCTACTTATAATTACATGTAATTACATTACAGGAAAAGACACAAAAACCTATTACAGCACAGGGAAAGAAGGGAGAGACATGAGCATTGTTTGAATCTTATTCTCATCAGATTTTGCTCAAGAAGGGAATAACATAATCACTTAGGTATAGAAATCTAACCTGCCTTATAGGCAGAAGGAGGGAAAAGGGGAAAGAAAAGGGAGGGGGGATAGAAGGGAGGGAAGAAGCAGTAAGGGTAAATGGGAAGAAAAGGGAAGGGTCTAATAGAAGGGAGGTGATGGTCGAAAGTAAAACACTGGGGAAAAGTAGAAAGGAGAAAGAAAAGCATAAGGGGGGGAAGGATGGAGAGAAAGACAAAGATAGTAATCATAAATGGAATGGGAATGGGATGAACTCTCTCATAAAATGGAAGCAGATAGCAGAATGGATTAAAAATCATAATCCTACAATATGTTGTTTGCAAGAAACACGTATGAAAAAGAGCAACACACAGTGTAAAAGTAAAAGGCTGGAGCAGAATATATTTTGCTTCAGCTGAGGTAAAAAAAAAAAAGCAGGGGTAGCAGTCCTGATCTCAGGCAAAGCAAAAACAAAAATAGATATTATTAAAAGAGATAAGGAAGGAAACTACATCCTGCTAAAAGGCCATCTTAGACAACAAAGTAACATCATTACTAAACATATATGTAACAAATGGTATAACATCCAAATTCTTAGAGGAGAAGTTCAGAGAGTTACAGGAAGAAATAGAAAATAATACTATGCTAGTGGGGGACCTCAACCTCCACCTCTCTGAACTAGATAAATCTAACCACAAAATAAACAAGAAAGAAGTTAAGGAGGTGAATAGAATATTAGAAAAGCTAGATATGATAGACCTCTGGGGAAAAAAAATGAACAGGGATAGAAAGGAATATACTTTTTTTTTTCTTCTCAGAGGTACATGGCAGATACACAAAAACTGACCATGTACTAGGGCATAAAAACATCACAGTCCAATGCAGAAAGGCAGAAATATTAAATGCATTCTTTTCAAATCATGATGTAATAAAAATTATATGTAATAAAGAGCCATGGAAAGATAGACTAAAAAGTAATTGGAAACTAAATAATCTAATCCTAAAAAATGATTGGATCAAACAACAAATCATAGAAACAATCAATAACTTCATTCAAGAGAATGACGATAATGAGACAACACACAAAACTTATGGGAATCAGTGAAAGCAGATCTTAGGGGAAGCTTTATATCTCTAAATGCTTACATAAATAAAATAGAAAAAGAGGAGATCAATGAATTGGGCATACAACTAAAAAAAAAACTAGAAAAAGAACAAATTAAAAATCCTGAATTAAACACCAAATTAGAAATATTGAAAACCAAAGGAAAAATTAAGAAAATTGAAATTAAGAAAATTATTGAACTAGTAAATAAAACTAAGAGCTGGTTTTATGAAAAAAAAATAGATAAACCTTTGGTTAATTTAATTTAAAAAAGAAAGAAGAAAACCAAATTACCAGTATCAAGAATAAAAAGAGTGAATCTACCACCAAAGAAAGGGAAAATAGACTTCTGCTTCTGGGAGCCAAGATGGTGGAGTAAAAAGGTAGTAGCTCTCAGCCTCCCCTATCCACCTCTGAAAGCCCAGAAAATATCATTCCAGAAAAAACCCTGGAACAGCGGAACCAGAAGAAAGATGGGGAGCAGCAGTGCAGTAGCCCAGGTAAGCTGCCAGAACCCTACAGCCTCCAACTGCCAACCGGGAGGAGATCCTGAAGACCGGTGGTGATCTTGAAACCCAGGTGGTGATTTTGAAGCCCAGGTGGTAGAGCAGGCAAACACCAACACCTGGATCTCGGAGTGCCTCAGTGAAGGCAGAGGAACCTGTGGAAACCAGCTCAGAAAACCACCAGGAGCCTCGGCATTCTGCAGCAAAGGAGTCTCCCAGTGCCTCAGCAAAACTAAGGGAGGCTGCACTGCAAGGGGCCCCAGGCAAATAAATGTCCACAGCACCCAGCTAAAAGGAGCTTAAGAAAGCTAAAGGAAAGGAAAAGCAGGCAACCTAGAATTGCCCAAAAGTTCTGGCCTTGCTGGAATAAACTAATTACTCAGAAACTCTGTCTCTCCAGCTCTTCATTCATCTCACTTTCTACAATCCTTCTCAATTGGCTGTGGGAGGTAATTGCCCTACTGAGCTCATGGTTTCCACTAGTGAGATAACAGGCAGCCTTATGAGGAATGTGATTTATCAACCTAAAAACATTGTTGAGAATTCTATTTTTTATTATGATTATTCATTCATTCAGCAGTGGTTTAGGGTGTGCTTCCAAAGCACTGTGGTTAATATTATCAAGGCAAGACAAATATAAAATTCATCTCATTCTGGAAAATTGTGGGCCTGGGCCTCATCACTATCATTCACAATTTCTGCCCTTGTCAGGTCACACTGTCCTCTGACTGGTAATTTTGAGTCACTGAAGAGATTTGGCTTGGGGAGAATGGAAGCAGTATTCTGGAAGGCCCAAGAAACCTAGCTTGAGAGAGATCAGAGAACATATTTTTTATGCTTAAGTTTTTTAAGTTTCCAAGATGAAGGAAGCAGGTGCAGAGTTTCTGGGCAGGTCAGTCCCAAGAGACCCTCACTCTCAGACTCTGGTCTGCATGTTTGTTTAACTTGAACTCAAGAGGCATGAAACTGGTCCTCCTTTCCTAATTCATCCACAGGGAACACAAAGAATAATGTCCAGGAGGCAAAACTGCCCCATAAACATGCCCTGCTCTTACTAGTTTTTGCCTTTGTCTTAAACACAGGCCTACTGTATGTCTCACATTCTGTATTTCCAAGGGAGAAGGACTGTTCAAAGTTTGAATATCCATTAGGAAAGAAAAATCTTTAGCAACAGAGAATGTGCCTATAGTTGCATGAACAATGATCCCTAGTCATCTTACAGTGCCTACTCCCTGGCTCTTTAGAGATCTGGGATATTGACCATGGGCTTGGGGAAACTGGGACTCTTGTTCTCAAGGTTGTTTGTGATCCTGCTTTTGCAGTTTTCTCGTTTTGAGTACCGCATGCAGAAGAGTCCTTGTCACATAGAAAGAGCTTACAGTCCCACCTATAGAAAAGAAGGGGACTTAGTCATAGGGGGCTTCTTCTCCTTGTATCTAAAGTTTGTGCAACTAAATGACAAGGCTTTCTTCCAAAGTCCTCACCTCTGGACTGCTCCAGGCCAATAGTAAGTGGTTATTTTTATTTTTCTGATTGATGAAATAGTCATCCATATTTCTGACTGAGTGGTTTGTTGTTTTTTGGTTGTGTTTTCTTTACCCTCACAGCATTTTTAAAGCAAATACCTGGGTTGGACAATGTTTAGAAGCCTGGTCCTCAGGATGCTGATAAATTAAAGGTTTCATTAGTGTTCAGTGCACCAAGCAGAGAAATAGGGACTATCCATACACACCCTCTACAGCATTTTAAACAGTCAGAAATTCATCTGACAGATGAAAAATCTCACCCACCACAAGGATGAGAGAGACACATCAGGGAGGAAATACACTCAAAGTTGGGGTTCAGGTGGCAAAATTCACTTTCCTAAGAATGGACTGGTTGACAACCGGTTATTGGTACCAAATATGGGAGCAAATATTCCCTATTGGACCCATATGTGAGGAGGAAGCTCTGAAGGTCACTTATGACTGCTAGGCTTGGGTAGAGGGAGTTTCTGCATCTTTATGCCACAAACTGGAGGAAGGATTTAGCGTTAACTATCTCAGGCACCAGAAAAGAGAATGAATTCAAAATACTCAGGTCAGTTCACAGTTTCATCCAATCCTAAACATCAAACTTCATTTGCCTGACAGAGAGTTACCAGGGTAAAAGCAAAATGCTTATCTTTGCTTATAAACTTTGATGGGCTTCAGGACCACATGATCTAAGTGACTCTATATTGGAGTTCTATCAGCATAAGTATAAAATTAAAATATATCTAAAACATTGAATAATATAAAGTTTACAATGACCATGAGTGTCATAATGATCAGACAATTGATAAGTTTCTTTAATTGCACTGAGTTTTCAATCCTATGTCTATGTAATATAAACTATAGGGCAATTTCTCTCAAAGATGCAAGCAGAACACCATGTACAGTCCACGAGCCACAGAATTAATGAATTAAAAATGACCCTGGCATCAAGAATTACTTTATCTCCTATCATTGCAACATTGCCTATATTTGAGATAATGATTTGTGCAAATAATTCCTCCACTGAGTAATGAGACTGTTCCTTTTGAATGTTTAGAGTCTGGGATTCAATACAATCCTTTCAATAGTCATTATTATTCCAAATACTTTTGCTTCACTTTCTTTCCTTTCCTTTCCTACTATTTCTTAAATATGGTTTTGAAATTTTAGAGGGGTATGTAGCGATTGGACCTGGACTGGAGTGGGGCTTAGGAGGGCATTACAATGAGGTCAATGATAGTGGCAGTGGACTCTCTTTTAGGATAACTCCTAAATGAGGTGTGTGAAGGGCACACTATTTCTAGTTCCTTCTGTGTGTCTCATGTACCCAGTAGGTGGAGTTTTGCTAAGACCTGGGCATTGGAAATCTCTGATAACTATTTCCCTTACTCTCATTTAATTCTTTTCCATTTTGCATGCCAGTTTATTCTTCCCTCAAAGTTTTCCTTCTCAGTCCTTCCTCTAATAAATACTCTGGGTTATTTCCTTCTTTTCTGCCAGAATTTCTTCATCTTGTCTTTATTTTGATCATACATCTACTCTGTGAATGGAGAAGATACTGCAGCAATCACATGAGGAAAGTTTACCTTAAAAATATTAATTGTTGTGATTTTCCTTTTTCAAAAGCCAAAAAAAAGTTTGTTACTGGTCAATTTTCTGTATATACTGGGAAAAACCCAAGTCACTGACTCAAGGATTATGGACTTGGTGAAGGACAAGAGCGGAGTTTAGCAAATTTACAGATGACACAAGTGTGGGAGGGTTTGATAAAATATGGCGAAATTCAGGACACCACACAAGCTTAGAAGGCTCAAACATGGCACTGAGCCCAGTCAAGAGAATCTTAATAATGAAAAGTGCACTCTTCATTCCGCCTTCAAAATCAAGAACATAAGAATACCAGTCCTGAGGTGTGGTTACTATCACAAAAATAGTTTGAGGATTGTAGTGGACTATGAAGGGATAAAATCGTCATTTTTCTGGTGCTCGATTCATTAACAATTGTTTGATACCTGGGTCATCCCTTTTCGCTGGCCATTAGAGACCTAAACATCTGCTCTCGTTACTTGCTCGTTGTGAGTTCTAAAGCTGACTGGTGCTCTTCACACACAGAGGCAGACTGAGAATGACAGAGAGAGAAAGAAAAGGAAAGACAGAGAGAGAGAGAGGGACAGAGAAAAAGACAGACTGACAGAAGGATAGACAGAGAGACAGGCAGCCTTATATTGAAGGGCCATTCTCCCTTGGCAATAGCTTTGGATATATGGGAAGAGGGATAGAAAAGAACATAGTATCCCTCTAAGTTTGGGAGCCTGAGGGCATTGGAGAACAATCTTACAGTCTACAGTAATAGGGAGAGAGTTTAGGGGCAAAAAGACAATGTTTCTATATTGGATATACTGAATTTAAGATGTCCACTAGACATGTAATTCAAGATATCTGATAAGCAGTTGGTGATATGTGATGTGAGTTTGGGCCAGGATAGGAAAATCTGAGAACCATCAGCATAAAGGAGCTGATAAGATAACCAAGTGAAGAGTGGATTCGAGATGGATCCCTGAGGGACACTTACAGTCAGTGTGATCTGAAGAGGATCCAGCAAAGGAGACTGAGAAGGAGCAATAAGAAAAGGAGGAGCAGAACAGGAGAAAATTGTTCTCTAAAACCTAGAGAGAAGAGAGTACCAAGGAGTGATCAACAGTGTCAAAGGATGCAGAGATGACAAGGAGAATGAGGAAGAGAAGTTACATAAATGCTCAAGAATGGCACTCACAATGAGCAGAAACTGAAATGATTAACAAGTGATTTCAATCAGCCTACAAGCATTTATGAGGCCTCTGCTAGAGTTCAGGCATTCACAAGTAGGTTTAGAGACAAAAATTAAAAAAAAATACCTGTTTTCAAAGAGGTTACATTCTAGTCAGCAGAAAAAATACGTCCACATAGTAAGCACTACATTAAGTTAGAGAGAAAGGTGATAAAATATTGTTTCTGGGAAGGCACTAACAGCTCACGGAGAGCAAAAAAGGCGTCATGTCAAATGACTTGAAATTGAAATGAAAAGTAGTCTGTTCTCATGCAGCATGAGTAAGTCAATAAACAGTTATCAAAAAGGTCTAGGCACTATTCTGACAACAGGAAATATGAAAAAGGAGTGGGGGGAACAGTCGGTTCAATCAGGGAACACACTGTCCTCTAGATGAGCTGTTCTATAATGGTTCAACTTTGTTGGTTTTGAACGAAGTAAAAATCTCCCCGACTAAGGATCGCTACTAGTTCATCTTTTATGTTTGAATAGAACTCTGAAGACTTCAGATGGAAGAAAGATTTCTCATTTCTTCATCTCAGAAAATTTCCAGGGAAAGGGCTCTGTTCCTCTTCATTTACAAATTGATTCGTGTATTTTCCCTAAAAGGATGAACCTCTAGTCCCTTCCTTTAGCAGTCTAGGCAAACATGAATCATCCAAATCTGTGTTTAGAGTGGTCTTCCAATTTGGGCTGAGGACTGGCTTCTTTCCTGAATCTGGGCCTGATTTGCCAAATATATGATGTATTTCTTCAGATCAGCAATACTTTATATTTTGAATTTAAGTTATTTCTAAGAAATAATTTTTATCAAGTGAATATAAATAGCATTTTTTACTGTTTTGGCCAGAAACTCTGAGAGTCTTCCCCTCCTAGATCTATTTATTTTTTCTAGGTAAAGAGACCGTTTTCTGCCTCATTTCTTACTTAGCCTTAATCACTGAATGGGTATTTCCTTATCAAACTGAGACCTTATCTTAAAAAAGGCCAAGGTTCCCCACTGCATCTCTAGTGGTCTTGATCTATATCTCTCCACTGGACCCAGATGGCTCTGGAAAAGAAAATGAAGCTGGTAACTACACCATCCTCCCTCACTTAAATCCGATTCACTTGCATGCCATGGCAACATCTCCCTGATGTCATGGTCCTCTTCAATAAGGAAGGACAAACAACAACAACAGTGCAGTGGTACCCACTGAGCATGCAGATATATTTGCTACAAGTGCAATTCCTGACCTCAAAAGGCTTATGTCCTATAATGGGGGGATAACATATCAAAGAAGGCTTCAATGTGGGGATGTGGCATAAAATGTAAGTACTTGTGTGGGGAATGGTGAAGAAGAATTCCAGAAAGTTAGATTGTAAGAGGCTCTAGGAGGAACTGAGCAATTAATCAGTGGAAGTGATTACAGAGCAAGACTGACCTTCCAGGATGAGAAGGCTCTTTAGTTATAGTGGGAAGTCCCTTGTGTAGGTAGGTCCACAGGGTATCAAGCTGGCAGGATAAAGAAGACAGATCTTATAAGTTCACTAGTGTTCTTCCCAACATGCCAGGACTGGCTGAGAGGGAAATATTGGTTCCTGGTATGAAACACTTCCTAGGAAGTTCTGAATCATCAAGGCCTAAAGTTCTTCCAAAGTTTATTAGTTTGAAATGTTGGCAGGCAGAGAAAGTCTCCTCGTGCTTGATGGGCCTGGTCCTATTGGCCATTCCCCTTCACTCTCCATGAAACTCAGACATGCAATGAAACCACTTCTCAGAACACAGACGCGGAACGAAATCACTTCTTGAAATTGTTGTGCTCTAATATGAGAACAAGAAGCATGTCTTGAACTTAGTTCTCAATCCTTCACATACCTAAACATATTGTGCTTCTTTCTTTGGATTTTCTTCCCTTTCTTTAGCATTTGTCAATAAGTATCTAGACGTAGAATACAATAATTTTTGAACTTTTAAGTACTGGAAGGTTGAATGTTTCATCATTGTTCCCTTTGCCACCTTGAGTTTGTAGCACAGACAATAGTGGTAACCAAACGACGTCATGGACCTAATCCAATTTTAGTTTGACCTGTTAACCAAGAAGATACCTACTTCCAAGAGTTAGCTGATCTAAGTAAAGGAATTGTCAGTCCAAAAGTGTTTCATATCCAAAAATATTCTTTTTCTCATCTCTTTAGAAGATTTTCTCACCTTAAAGTTGCCTTTTTTATCCTGAAATTTCCTACAACCCTTAGAGTTCTCTTGGCCATTTGAGTGTTCCTGACAGACCCTCACTTTGAGAAAGGTCTCCAGGTCTTCCGAATCTCTGGATTTCCACATTATGTCCAACACTCAAAAGGACCTTCTCCATTCTCCTCTCCTCATTTTTAGGGGGTTGTCTTCCTCCATTATATGATAAGCTACTTAAAGGCATTGATTCTATTTTTCTGTTTCTTGTACTTGTGTCCCAAGCTCTTGGCACATTAGCAGGCACAAAATGAGCATTTAACAAATATCTCTTGACTTTTTTAACAAATGTACAGATTAAAATCTGGTTGTTTGAAGGAGAAATTGTAGTTCTTTATGTGAGTCCCATTTCTTATGCTCTCATACAACAAGATGGCTTAATGCTACACACACCAAAAAAAAAAATGTTACAGTTGCCTTTATGTAGTGTGATATTGTGGGGAAAGGGCTGTTCATACACTGCTTGACTTCTAATAATCCAACACTTGGAACTCTGGGAATGGACAGGGTGATTTATTCATTCTTCCAAAGGAAGGACTGAGGAGACAGAAGTAATTATGCAAACAGAAGGTTTGGTATGGAATCACTCCCTGTCTCATCTGGGCTGGCTCTTTGCAGGAGTTGGTGTTTAGATCCGTGGGTCAATTTTCTGCTTATTTGTATCAAGTGACTTTCTGCTTCTCTAAATTCTGTAAAGTCTTGAATCTTTTTGTTTTTTCCATAGTGGAACCAGGTAGTCTCCCTTGTTCCTCACTTTAACTCCTATCTTCAAGCTTTCATTTGTAGCCAGAGCATCAATATCAGTGTCATTGAGGTTTTCATTATGTCAATCATCCCAATTTGGAAAAAAATGGTCTTGAAGAAGTGGTGTCACATTTTATTGTTTCACAACATAGGACTCATTCTGGATTCCAAATAACTATGCCTGTACCCACCTCTTGCACTCACCATAGTCTTTTTGCCTAAGGCCATAATGGCCCATCTCCACTCCTTTTTTCCCTTTCTACTCTCTCAACAATCATAGTCTTTACTCAGTGTTGGCTGTCCCTTGGAACTCATGTTCCAAGGTATGTAGCTGATGCTGTCTTTGTTGATGGAGCTGTACCTCAGAGAAAAGGACTTCTGCTGCAGTAAACTCAAGGTCACATCCTTGGCTCTCACTGCAGTTACACAATCCTCCTCCATAATTATGCTCTTTATCAACCTCTCCCATTTCCAACTCCAATGGGCTTTGCTGTTTGGTATCCTGGTTCTAGTATGTCTTCTCTAGTAATTTTGTCTTCTTATGTAGCAACCCTCTTGCCAAGAGATTACAGGACTTACCATCCTGCTACTCCATAGTCACGTTCCTGGTAACACTGTATGTCCCCCTTTTCTCTGTCTTCCATTTCCATTCTTCTTATACGTGAAATTTCTCACTCTGCTTTTCTATGTCACAAAATAGTTTTCCTTTTCCTTTCACATCCTTTCTGGTTTAGGTAACAGCTCAATGTTTGTGCAATAAATGGAATTTGATAGTGTCCCTTTATTGCCTATTTTCCCAAATATTTTCTTTTTATAAGTATTAGAAATAATTGTCCTTCAAATAGTAGAATTAACTTATGAATCAATTTTGCCCTGGAATTTTTTTTTCTTAGAGAGTTCATTAATGTCTTATTTGATATAGATAGATAGATAGATAGATAGATAGATAGATATAGATATATAGATATATGCACAATTATAAAGGTACAGTTATTTAAATATTCTATTTCCTCTTTTTTAATTGGAAAATTTTACATTTTTGTAAGTATTTATCTATGTCAGCCAGCTTGTCATATTTTTTGGCACATATTTTGGCCAAATTAGTTTCTAATAATTGCTTTAATTTTCACTTATTTTGTGTTGGTTTCACTCTCTTCATTTTTGATGCCAGTAATTTGGTTTCCTTTTTTTAAAAATCAAATCAACCAAATACTCATGTATTTTATTGGGTTTTTTTACACAAATTACTTCCCTTTTTATTTATTAATTTAATAATTTTATTATTCTCCCTTTATTTTTCAGGATGTCCAATTTGGTGTTTAATTGGTCATTTTCAATTTGTTGTTTTTTCTATTTTCTTTTTAGTTGCATGCCCAATTCATTGATCTGCTCTTTCTATATCATATTGATGAAATTATTTAGAGAGAAAAATTTTCCTCTAAGTGCTCTTTTGGTGCTCTCCCATAACTTTTGGGTTATTTTATCATAATTATCATTCTTTTTAATCAAATTATTGATTGTTTCTATGATTTGTTCTTTCACCCACTTATTCATCCATATTAAGTAATTTAGTTTCCAATTATTTTTTAATCTATCTTTATATGGCTCTTTATTGAATGTATTTTTTATTGCATTATGATCTGAAAAGGTTGCATTTATTATTTCTACTTTCCTGCTTTTGATTGTGAGGTTTTTATCCTCTAATACATGGTCAATTTTTTTGTAGGTGGCACTGAGAAAAATGCATGTATTTTTTTCTCTATTGGCACTTAGTTTCCCCAGACATCCATCACGTTCATTGTCTCATTAATTCTTAATCAAGCAGGGTTGATTTTCAACTGGTAAGAAAGCCAAATCTTTCAAGAATATACAAGAATTGAGAGGATTCCATGAGTTTTCTTTGGTTTATAAGAGAAAGGCAAGAGACCATCATTGTATTAATTATCTTTTAGACATAATTACTAAAATTGATTATTAATTAGCCAGAAATTATGTCTCTTGGACTATTCCTATATTACAACTGCCATTTCCTTGACCTGGCAGCTCTGGAATTTTGCTATAATATTCCCGGGGGTTTTCACTTTGGGATCCCTTTTAGGAAGTTACTATTGGATTCTTTGAATTTCTATTTTATCCTTTGTTTCTAGGATTCAGGGTAGTTTTCTTTGATAATTTCTTGAAATATTATGTCTAAGCTCTCTTTTTTTCATGACTTTCAGGTAGTCCAGTAACTCTTAAATTATCACTCCTGGATCTATTTCACAGGTCAATTATTTTTAAATTGAGATATTTTTCATTTTCTTCTATTTTTATATATTTTTGAACGTGTTTTATTGTTCCTTGATGTCTCATGACCTTATTCTAATTATTAATTAATTATTTTCTTCAGTGAGCTTTTATACCTCCTTTTCCATTTTGACAATTGTAATTTTTAAAGGAGTTTTCTATGTTGAATTTTGTAAATTATTTTCCATTTTTTGTGCTCTTTTCCCCCAACTTTCCTCTTTGTTCATGAATCTCTTGCCTCAATCTGATTTCTTTTTTCTACATTTTTTTCCCTTTCTCTCTTATTTGATTTTTAAAAGCCTTTTTGAGTTCTTCAAGGAATTCTTTTTGGGCCTGAAACCAATTCATTTTCTTTGAAGCTTCAAATCTAGCTGTTTTGATATTATTTGCGTTTTTGTTTCAATCTTCTCTGTCACCATCGAAACTATCTATAGTCAGCTTCTCTTTTTTTAGTTATGGTTTGTATTAATTTTTCATCCTACTTTCTTTTACCTTTATGTTAAAGTCAGATACTGTTTTGGGGGTGGAAGGTCATTGTCCCAAGCTTCTTGTGCTAGGGCTATAAGGGATTTGGGCCTTGCTGCTCTCTTGCTGGTGTACAAACTGCTACTGGCATGCCTGTAAACCACCTAGGCTTGTGTATAATTCACCTTTACCTTCATAACACAGATGTTTCTTGCTGACTTTCTAAGTTGTCTTTGGCTGGAAAATTATTTGACCTTATCTTATTGTTGTTTTTGTCACCCACAATTTCATTTTGAGATATTATTTCAGAGTTTCTCTTAGGAGAATTTGGGAGACATTAGTTCTTGCCTTACTCTGTCACCTTAGCTCTATTTTGCAACAATAAAAAAAAAAACCTTAAAGTGTCAATCATGACCAAGATTTATTTCTCATCTTGAATTTAAACTACTTTTGTCTCTAATTTTACTGTCATTTTATTTTTGTTATTAGTTGATTTCAAAGAAACATTAAGCCCAATTATGGTTGACTTTGAGGCGAATACCAGACACAACATTTCATACCATGGGAGAATACTCACATGAGGTTAGGGAAACCATGTCAGTTTGAAATACATTTATACAGCATAATCTGGAGAAAGTAACAAAGGTAGCTTCAACTTTTATTGAAACATTTTAAAGAAAAATGACATAAAACCTCCAAATGCATTGTAGAAGTGAAAGAGACCTTAGTATTCCTAGGCTGAGGAATACAAGAGCAGTTTCAGGGGGAAAAAAAGTGGGCCATGACAGGAGGTCAGTAGAATCTCAAGAAACATTGACGATTACCTCATCAGTGATTCATAGCAGCAGTGGACAATGTGGATTTGCAATGAGTCCAAGTGACTCAGCAAATGTTTCAGCAAACAATTTTCCAGCTCAAGACAACTTGGATGGTGTAAAAGGTCATTCTCATTAAAATGGTCAGGGTGGAGCACAGTACAGACTGCTTAGGTGCCAGTAGCAGGCTTTGTAGGCAGCTGCATCCTTGGCTGTAGCAGCATTATGAGCTTCAGCCCACAGATTGTTGGGAGATCATTGACAGAAAACTGATTGGAAGGAGATTCCAGAGTACCCTTTGTAGGCGCTGGGTTCAGGACATGGTTGCATTGCCCCTTAACATTTCCCAGTCTTAGGCTTAAAAGGGGAAAAAAACATGCTTTTGCTGGCTAGCAGGGGTTGTGTTCCAAGTTCAAGCATGGAGAGGAATGCTTGTGGTCAGTCATGTTAGAGTATGGTCCCTGGCCTCAATTTCAAGATGTAGAGGATAACTGGCACTTATAGGTACAAGACAGCAGGGGCCAGTTCACAGTCCAAGGGCCAGGAGGAGTGCTAGCATCGGCAGGTAAAGGGGAACAAGGACCTCAATCTTCCTTTCTCAGAACTAGATAGACCTAGTCATAAAATAGAAAAGAAAGAAATTAAGGAGATAAGTAGAATTTTAGGAAAGTTGAATATGATTGTTGTTTGGGGAAAATTTATTGAGAATGAAAAGTAGTATACCTCTTCTCATGTGTACATGGCATCATCATAAAAATTAACTATGTATTAGGGCATAACAACTATAAGTCCAAATGCAGAAAACCAAATTATTAAGTGCATCCTTTTTATAACATAAACCAGTAAAATTATATTTAATAAAGGTCTGTTGGAAAATGGATTATAGTTAGTAGGAAATTACATAATTTGATCAAACTAGAAGGAGAAAAAATAAGAAATGTCCAACTAAGCACCAAAGAAGAGATTAATACAATTGAATATAACCATTTAACTTAGATATTAGACTGAATTGGTTTTATGAAAAAAAAAGCTATGAACAAGATGAACCATAGGTCCATTCGATTAAAAAATAAAAAAGAGGAAAACCAAATTACCAGTATCAAATGTAAAAAGGCAAACTCAGCTTAAATGAAGATGAAATTGAAGCAATTATTAGGAGCTGCTTGGATCAATTATATTTTAATAAATTTGAAATCTAGGTAAAATGTCTGATCTAACCATTCTACAGAGTAACTCAGAACTATATCACAATGGGTATACAACTGTTCCTAGCCTTTGACCCAGCAATACTCCTACAAGTCTATCTCCCAAAGACATCAAGAAGCACCTGTATGTGCAAAAATATGTATAGTAGCTCTTCTAAGATTGGCATAGAATTGGAAATTTAAGGGATGCCCTTCAATTAAGCAATAATCAAACAAGTTGTGTTATATGATTGTGATGAAATATTATTTTGCTGTAAGAGGAATGATCAGGTGGATGCTTTCAGAAAAACCTGGGAAGATACACATGAACTGAGGAAAAGTGAAATGAGCAATATCAGGAGAACATTTTATACAGTAACAGCCACAATGCACAATGATTCACTGTGAATGACATAGCTACTCTTAGCAATGTTATGACAGAAGATAATTCTGAAAGACTTTTGATGAATGCTATCAATCTCCAGTAAGTGAAGTAATAGTGTCTAAATGCAGATTGAAACATACTTTCCCCCCCTACTTTATTATTCTTGGGATTTGTTTTGTTTTGTTTTGTTTTTGGCCTGAATTTTCTTTTGAAATGTGGCTAATACGAAAATGTTTTGCATGACTGCCCATGTGTATAATCCATATGAAATTTCTTTTGATCTCAAGGCAGAAAGCAGGGAGTCAGATAATTTGGGAAAAATACTAAAAAGTAAATGTTAACAAGTTTTATATATACACACACACACACACATATATATGTATATATGTATGTATATATATGTATACATGTATGTATATATATATATATGTATATATGTATGTATATGTGTGTGTGTGTGTGTGTATATATAC